TTGTAACTCAGTTACTAACTCAGTTACTTTTTTGAAGAAGTAACTAGTAACTATAATTAAGTAACTTGCCCAACACTGCCTTTGGTGGGGTTTGTGTGTTTTCACAGGTGGTTCTTTTCTGCACTCATGTTAACATCAGCTCTTCTTCTCAGTTACGTTGAACTTGAAACAAAGTGGATGGAAACCGTTGCTGCCTATGAACACGATAAACTAGAAAAAAGCTGCATTTTATTATTTCATTAGAGCATTTTAAAAGGTTATATTTATGTGTGAACATGTATCTTTGTATTACATACGTGTGCCTGTCTATATTGTTACACGTGCTTTGTACAAAGGCCTCTCCTAAAAACGAGCTCATGATCTCAAGGATTAAATAAATGTTTTTAAAATAACAACATGCACAAATGATATTCAGGTCTATACTATCTTACTCTTGGGAGATGTGCTTGTACCCGGCCTTATAAAATGTTGGTTGGCAGCTTTGTGTTTGGCACATACAGTACTGTGCAAAAGTTTTAGGCAGGTGTGAAAAAATGGTGTAAACAAAGAAAGCTTTCAGAAATATAAATGTTTGTTTATTGGCCCCAAATGTATTCTGCAGTAAGAACTATCTTCAGTGTGAAGAAGAACTGGAAGTACTGGAAGTGATGGTACGGCAACAATCAACGAGTGTGTCTGAGATTACACGAAGAGACAGAAGGATGTGAGGAAGCTTACATTCACAGAAGATCTGTGCTTAGTTCTCCAAGATGTTTGGAACAACCTACCACCAGAGTTCCTTCAAAAACTGTGCAAGTGCACCTAGAAGAAGGCAAAGGGAGGTCACACCAAATCCTGATTGGATTTAGATGTCTCTTTTGTTCATTCACTGCATTTTTTTTTGATTGATGAAAATAAATGATTAACACTTCGATTTGTGAAAGAATTCTTTCTTTGCAGCATTTTTTCTCACCTGCCTGAAACCTTTGCACAGTACTGTGTAAAGACGTGGCAGTTTGCATATGCATAAGGAAGTCAATTTATTTATTAAGTTCAACTTTACGAATCGGATGATTTTGTATTTGTGGATCTGGGTGGTTTTGTGGAATTTGTGGCCTCAAAACCCCACGTCGGCACGTGATGCGATCTGTAAATATCAGGCGATTGGTGCACAAGCATGCAAAGTTTGGTAAGTGAGCGGGAGAGAGGTTAGATGTAGTCGATGTAGTCTTAGACAAAGCTTTAAAAAGCTCTTTGAACGAGAAATGTATCCAATTCATGAAACTGAACTTGTAAAATGTGCATAAATAATGACTATTTATTCAGGTTTGGATGTAAAATAGTTTCATGTGTGGTCAGTTGCTTCACATCTGTGTGGACTGAATCACACTGGGTAAATTCCCAGATGATTAACCCTTTAAGACCTACCATAGAACCAAGTCCGCCAGAGCTTATATTATATTTTTACATGCTGTGGAGCCATTTTTGGGAGCATTTTAAGTTGCTATACATCAATACAACCATTATAGAATAATGTTTTTCTTACCCATGAGCCTAAAAATTAGATGTAGTTCTTCCTTCACAGTGGCACCAGGAAACATAGGACGACCTGTTGCCATCTCATACAGGATGCAGCCTACGCCCCTGTGAGAAGGAGGCGGAGATAAGGAGGCACAGAGGAGGACGAGCTGTTAGGTATAAAAATTCTGAGTGAGGTCGAGTTCAACACACACACACACACACACACACACTTCAAAGACTGTTAATTGTAAGTGCAAACTAGTATGCAGTGAGTGGGCACAGTCCAGCCTTTTGTTCCACACAGGATGGCGTGGTGAAGAGGCATCCTGCAGTCTGATGAGAGTGTATGTAGCTCTATGTGCTCATGAAAGGCTGCTGTGTTGCCAGAGAGCCACATTTATATTTCTGATTTAGCAGAGCTGTGGGGGTGTTCTCACCACAGCAAACTGTGTGCAAAAACACGTAAGGAAAGTGAATGCACACCCCTTTGTATGACTAGTGACTCACCTCACTGCTAACAACCTGTGACATTTTAATAGACAGAACTGAGTCATGGAAATCCTGGATGGCCCTCGAGTATATTTAAGTGTTTCACCAAGTAACAGGATTTTACTGTAACCAGGGTCGGCACCAATTCCTTTCCTGACAAGCTCAGTGGTTTAAAGTACACTTCTAGCTGTGTTTCAAGCCTTTAGTTTCCAGCCAAGCAGGTCAGTGGTCACCGTGACTGATGTGGAAAAATGTGCTTACCACATGTCGATGGGTGTGGAATATTCTGTAGAGCCTAGCAGCACGTCAGGAGGTCGATACCAAAGCGTTACCACCTCATTGGAATAGGTCTTAGTGGGGACGGACTTGGCCCTGGCCAGACCTGGACATTACACAAGTCACAGGACCTCAGTAACAGCACAGTGAAATATCATAAGTCCATCATCTACACACTGTGAGCAGGTAAAGAGAAGCGTCCGCTATCCGCTCATTACCCGTGTTTATTTAAAACTTTTGAAATGCAGTCAGAAAGTACTGGTGGATTTAACTACCCATTTCCAGCAGGAAACTGTGAAAACTCAGAGTGAGGGGCACAGTTGCTAGGATACAGGAAGTAAAGGTGCTAAAGTAATTAGGACAGGCGATCTCTGAGTGGCAGTAAAATAGAACTGGAGAGTGATCATGCCCAGAAATGTGCCGTTTCCTTCACAAAAGTTCACTTGTTAATGTGTGCGTGTTGTTGTGTGTTTGTTATTGTTCTCCTTCCTACCAAAATCAGCTAATTTCAATTCGCCCTTATCATTGATGAGCAGGTTCTGAGGCTTTAGGTCTCTGTGGAGGATTTTTCTCTTGTGACAATAGGACAGACCACGCAGCAGCTGGAACATGAAGATCTGCAGACAGAAACATGAAAGGAGGGTGTAATTACCAGAACAACAA